TATACTGTTCACAAGACTACTTAGCCATTACTTCCATATTTGGGTATCAAATTACTAAATAATATTATCAAGTTTCAACTGCAAATCTAAGATTTATTGCATTTGTACGTGCATTGCGCATAGGTAAAGACTTACTTATGTAAGGCACAGTAAGAATATGAATAGCGATTTGAAAAAGAATGAGCCAGAATAATCGCCATTTGCCGTCTCGAACCTAAACGAATATCAAATGAATGAATGTTTAGTTGGTCAACTGAATGAATGCATGAATAAAAGAGTAATACCTGATCGTATGGTGATGATTTAGTATATTCGTCACGTCGCCTACAGAACACAACAAATGACTGTAAAAAACATTGAATTTTAAAAGAACTTCAGATTTCATTGAGCTAATGATGAATCCTACTCACAGCTAAGATTTGAGTGGCAAGAGTTACGACCACAAGACATGCAGCTAATCTTATGATAGCTGTGGCTCCTAGCTGGACGTAGATGGGAACCTTAAGTGGTTTGACAAGTTTAGCACGGAATGCAGATTTACAAAGTTTTTTCTATGATGCTTAATCATACAAGCAGAATTAAGAGACTTCTGTTCTAAGTATTTTTTCGTACAATTTAATATCTCAAGTCATGAGCTCAAGTTAATGCGTTCATCATCGAGGCATTTTTTCACGCTCAACAGCACTTTTGAACTATATCCGCAGGTTTCGTAGTAAGAATTTTCTAGTCGAAGGTATTTGTTAGAAGCGAGAAAAAGACGGTAGGACTAGTAGTATAAATTAAAGAAATTGACTTGAAAATTAGAGAAGCAATGGATAATCAATACTTAGAAGAAAAAAGAGTACAAGAAAGAATACTCATTTCTTTTGTCTGCATTCATCATGTAGTCAAAAAAATCTAACATACCGTAAATACAGCAAGAAGAGTGTCGATTAAAGTGAAGAGTATAGGAAATAGCTGCACTCTTAGGAATGACCACCTGAAAATGACAGTGGGAGGTTTTAAAAATTGGAGGGAAGTATGCAAATCGCTAGGGTAATTTACGTCCTTTAGTCAATTTGCTTCATAAGAACTAAGGTCAGAATCGTTCTGATTCAAGTAGAAACTTACACATATGGAATATAATTGATCTCCTCAGGACGTACGATAGCCTTGTGCGCGTAGTAAAAGGCCACTACAGAAGTGAACAATGTTGACCAGAATAGAATATCCGAGAGAATATAGCAAACAAGAGGGAAAAGCGTTGTCTCGCTGAAAAATATCTATTTTTGTATATTGATTAGACCTTACGGTCATTCTTCAGACATGCCCCTGACATTGCTTGCAATCTACTTTGCGATTGTCTCAAAAAAAAACTCACATTTCAATAATAAACTAATATTGCATATTTATATATGTTAGGAGAAAGCTTTTTTTTTCAAGATAAATAAGATTTAGTTGTTGTCACCTGTAGATGTTATAGGTTGTATATCGTGCCAAGATTTCCTGGTAGATTTTCACAGCTTCACTGAAAAAATGGGAGTACTAAAAATCAATGAGATTACAGTTATCTTTTTCAAATTTAAGCTTACTGTTGCAATGAGCTTGTGGCTCCATCATAGTAATCACCGCGATAGTAATTCATGAGAAGATTCCTGAATTACCAGTTGTTTCTTAAAATAGAAAGCTTTTGCTATTTTACCCTAGTAATAGCAAAAATCTCTAAAATAATAGCGAATAGAATTGATTTCTCTCAGCTTTTTAACCACACTACCGGAAAACAATTTGCTTGTGGCTTCTTCAATTCATAAACCTTACCTTGATCCATAAAAGCTAACGCTAGTCTTGATTTCTGAGTATACATCAAATCCACATTCCAATATTATTGGCAGTAATATAAATAGCGTAAATATTTTTAAAAAATCCCTTTTGATAGTAGCAGACAAAACCAGGATTAGGAGAGATAGTGCACATTTCGCGGAGAGTGCAGCAATACGATAGTAATTAGGCGTGTACGGCAGAAGTGTGGCTGAAAAGCAGTAAATGATATTAGAACAGAGAAAAGAGAAAAATTATTAATCTTGGAAACAATAGGATTAAGGAGGTCCAAGCAATGCATATATTATTGTTCAAATGCGTATTATGGTTGAGTTGTATGTAATTAATAATCGATTATCGATTATAATATAAAAATGTCATTCATTGTCCAATCACATAAAGTCAAGAAAAATAACACTTACGTACACGTCACATTTTATTTTCTAAAATGTCTAACCCACAATTATGGATATCGCCTGCGCAATTTCCAAAACTATACGATCAAATATTGATTTTACATTGCTCTTCCTTATTTCTTGAACTTACCAAATGTCGTTGAGGAATCATCAGCTAGTGTCACA